ATTTGTAATTTAGGATCAGAGGTCAACCTTCAAAAGGCAATTTATCTCTCAACTACAGACAGAATTTTATGATTTGAAAAGAAATATGGGGTGAAAGCAATGAAAATAGCACTAAAAAAACTGAAATTCAATCTTTGAAGACATCTCATGGTCCACTATCCCCAAAACTCCCTCTCTCTGTCAACACAACACAGACAATGATTCATTATAATCCTCTTCTCCCCACAAGACCACCCTGACTTGGAAACTGTGAGTTTAGACTGTGCTTAACTCTACTGTCAGACTAATCAGAAGAAAGTAGTTACCTACAAATCTTTTCTCCTGTTAGTTAGACTGTGAACTCCTTAAAATGTAATAATCCCAGGACCTAAACAGTGCTTAGCCTATACTTTGGTGACTAAATGAAAGCACAAGCCACCTTGAGGAATTTAAAAACATATATTATAGAATCCCTTACCTCAAGAAGCTTTTAAACGAGTATGGGGAGATAAGCTAATCATAAAATTAACTCTGGTGTCAGGGATACTATGACAACCGCGGGCTGTCACGGGTGTCATAACAGTTCACTTGGACGTCTGGAGTCTAGTCCTACCTAATTTATTACCTCATTCATTCAAAAATATTTACAGAGCCCCTAGTACTTCTCAGGTGCGTTTTTGGGTGAGGGATACAGAAAATAATTACAATACACAGGGTCCGTGCCCTCAAGTCGCTTACAGTCACTGGGCTGCAATGATCCTTTAGCCTTCCCCAGACTCAGTTTCTCCGTCTGCAAAATAAATTTAACTACACCTAATCATAGCCAATTGCAACCAGATGTGAATATGAGAAGTGTCCTAGAAATTCAAAATGCTATGCAATCACACATTATTGATGCATTATTACTGGAGTTTAACTGAAATAGGCCACTCACTTTCCTGATTTTAAGCTTTTTGCCTATAAGCAACCAGCAGAGAGGAAGTGCTCTATAGAATACTGATTGAATGAGGGAAAACTAGTTTTTTGACAGCAGAAAATCTCTCATTAAAAAGCATTTGTAAGCAGTGGCCATTCAAGGTACAACAATTGGTCTCTATTTGCCTGAAGCAACAGAGGAAGAAGGGAAGTCAGGAACAGGATGAGGAAATGAATGTGTGGCTAATGGCCTCCATGAACCACAGCCTCCTTTGCCATGAGACCAGAAGAACTGGATGGCCCCCAGCTACCATGACTGAACATTTTGATCAAAGATTCAATAAAAGAATCCTGATCAAAAGGGCGAAAATGGAGAATAGGATTTCAAATTCTCATGGACTCTAGACTTTCTGGCCATGGATGCTGGATGAGCCCCAAAAACTATTCCCCTGAGACAACCTTCAAGCCTTCAACCTCAAACCAAAACTATCCCCTGAAGTCTTCTTAAAACCAAACAGTAGTCTAACTAGTAAAGAATGTCGGCCTTCAGCAGTGTGCTCTTTTTAAGATCTATCTGTATGGGATCAAATTGACAACAGCAACTGAGAAGATTAAATAGGAATCTTAGAGGGCAGTGAGTTGATGTTAATGAGGAAGGGATACCTTGGAAAGGAGGGTGAGAATGGTTGCACAACTCAAAGAATGTAATCAATGTCACTGAATTGTACATGTATAATCTGTTGAATTAGTTAGTGTATGTTTTGCTGTGTACATTTTCAACAACAAAAATAAATTATTAAAAAAGAGCACTTGCATGCAGTAAGAAAGCTAACCATTTTAAAAGTAATAGTTTTGTGATTTAAATAATCCCCCCTTTATTCATTTTTATAAATCTGAATTTTCATACATCATCTTTCTTTCAGCAGAATATACCTTTACATGATTTGCTGTTCCCATACTGTGGATCATTTCCATATAAGGCTAGTTTATCAGTGGTTACAAAATAAAAATAAAATATTTATTGAGTACCTATAGGATGTGTTGTGCAAATTATTTATTCCACCAGTTTTCCTTCCTTCATTTTCTTTTTCCAAATTCCATGAATTGAAATAATTTGGGTAGGCTTGTTTCATTTTCAAAATACTATTCCCTAATACCTTTTATCTGCCACAGTTTCTGCTCCTGGGTCCACTCGTGGAAATGGAAACACTCCCTCAAAATACTCTCCAGGATTTTTTTTTCCTCAAGAAGTTTTCAGGGAAGGGATTTGGATGGAGAACACGGGACAGTTGAGGAGAATGTGAAATTAAAAATATACGTGAAAAAAACAAAAAGAAAAAAGGAAGGGAAGGAGGGAGGGAGGGAAGTGGGAAGGGAGGGAGGGAAGGAGGAAGAGAGGGAGGGAGAGAGGGAAGAAGGAAGGAAGGAAGGAAGGAGAAAAGACAAGAAAAGAAATGCTTCAACTGACCACCACACTTAATCTATAACTTTATAAATAAAATACGTCAAAAGATATGCAACTGATTTTCTGTATTTTCAAAGAAGACTGCGCAGTGTTTTCTCATGGCATCCACACCAGGTTAGTGCTAAGCTCCGGTTTTTATATCATCTTCAAGGTCCATGCTACAGAATTTCACTGAACATAGACTGGTATATAACGAGATATATTCTTTCCATAAACTCCCTTGGAAGAGGAGGGAAAGAGGGTCTTACCAAACCACCTAGCAGAATTCAGGGTTCCTTTTGATACCTGTTTACTTCAGACTGCAGGCATCCCCCATTTTCCGTGACTGCACCCTGCCGTGTGGTTACCTACATGCCTGGAACCAGTGGGTGGAAAACCCAAGCCCGCGCCTCATTCAGTGTCTTCGCATTCGCATCTCGTCAGGCTCCAGCCCTCTACAGGGCCAACGTCAAAAACATCTCCTGACAAGGACAACAGTATTTTCCAGCATAACAAGTATTGTGTCAATTACACACTGCTTTCCTTAAAAATCGTTTAACTCTTCAGTGTGTGTATTAAGCAGTTTAAAATACTATCTGATTAACTAGTATGACACAGAGATTTGGGAGATGTGGCATGGCACGTGTAAATATTCCAAAAATTCAAGTGCTACCTTGCAGTGTAACAACAAAACAGTATGAATAATTTTCACTTTCTGAGACTTCTATCCAATTTAATATCTTGCAGATATCATATTTCTTATACTATATACTCTGCTTCATTATGCAGCAGTTTGATATTTGCATCTTTATGATATACCTTGAGTAAGATACAGCCACACTTTTTAAAATGTTGAACACCTCAAACTGTTTTCAAACGTTTGACACGTGTTAATACGTAATACAGTAAAACCTATGAAAGCCAGAACCTGTGTGAGGCAGAAACCTGTCAGAGAAGGAGAACTCAAATATTTCCCACTAAAATGAGCAACAGAAAAGTGGTAAGACTGTACCTTGTCAAAGGCGGAAAACTTACCAGACCTGGAGGAGCAAGGCTGTCATGGGTTTCACCGTGCATGCTATGCCAAGCTTTGCTCTTGACATTAAGTCATAGGATTATTTTGAGAAGAACACGCCTGGAGGATTTTCTCCTTCCCTCTCTCCCTCTCAGTTCACTCATGAATGGACACACACACACAGACACACAAACACACACATACTCATATACATGTACTTTAAAAACTATTTGATGTTTCAGTGTTCAAGACCTCTTTAAAAGATGTTTACCTCTTTTTTATTATAGAAATTATGTAAGAAAATTACAGAAACTTTAAAAATTAGAGTGAAGAAAATCACCTCTATCACTAGCAACAAAGCATTTTAATAATGATCATGCTTGTACTTTTTAGTATCTTTATTACACTAAACAAATTTTCCCAGAGATAGTATACATTTTTTATATTTAGAAGAATAAAAAGTTCTTTATGTAGTTTCAATCATATACATGCAAAATTAATTGTCTCTGTAAATACAGTATTCACAGAAATACAAAGTCATATCTGGCCAAATATAAATCCACTGAAAAACAAAATTAGAACTATACCAAAATATTAACATAAAATATATTCAATTTTGGGGGAAATTTATTGAACTCCACAACCCCTCTGAGTCTACATTTCTTTCTTCAGAGCTATAACTGCTTCTTAAGCTGTCGTTGTGTTAAAAAGAAAATGCCTTTTAGGGAGTAAAAGAACAACAAGCAAAGGAAGCTTCCCTGTAGAAAGTTACTTTGCAAAGAAAAAAAAACTAAAGGTCTGACTGAAATATAACCAAAACCCAAACCAAGCCTGCTGCCTTCGAGTCGATTCAGACTCATAGCAACCCTACAGGACAGAGTAGAACAGCCCCATAGGGTTTCCAAGGCTGTAATCTTTACAGAAGCAGACTGCCACAGCTTTCTCCTGTGGCGTGGCTGGTGGGTTCTAACCACTGACCTTTCAGTTAGCAGCTGAGCACTTCACCAAGTGTACCACCAGGGCTCCGTGACTGAAATATAAGGATTCAAAAAACGAAAACTGTGTCTCTCCATGAATTCTTTCTCTCATTTCTCTACAGTTTCAATTCCAAAGGTATTCTGTTCCACTACTGTAAGCTCTAACAGTTGTGAATGTCCTTTGAGAGTTCGTGACTGTCAACAAGAAGTCCAGCACGAAGTCAACACTTCTCTCCCTGCCATGCTCATATAAAAATTATTTTAAGATTTTTTAAAAATGTACTGTAATAATATAACTATCTCTTCGAAATATATACAAAGAAAGTATTTTTATAACCATTAAAAATGTTAAATAAAATCAAGTCAAATATTGACATCTCCCTTTTTCAATGTGTTCATGTCCAAACCCACTGAATTTTCAGGAATTATTTGCCAAGTTTTTTTTTTTTTTTTAAGTCAAGGACTATTCTTTTGTATTTATTTAACCTCATTCTAAATGTATCATATTAAACAGAATAAAACTCTGACAAAATCAAAATGTCATTTTGTATAGAATTTGTCTACTTTATACTTTACTTTTTAGCATGCATTACATGTATTTTATTCTGCCACAATAAACTAGAAAAATGCTGGTTTAAACACTCCATACTCAGTCTGAAGGAAATCTTACCTTCTGGTTTGTTGTTCTTCCTCTTCAGCCATTTTTCTACCGTCTCTGCACTAACACTTTCAGATACAAATTCATCCAGTACCTGGGGGTGAAGAGAAAGGTATGCCTTCACTTTTTCATCTGTCAAACCTGTAAGAGAGTCAGAAAGAATGAGATTTACCTATATGGCATCTGCATATACACGAAAGACATCATACAAATGATGACGTTATGACAAGAGCAGATTTAAAATGCTAAACATAAAAAGAATATACATTTAGAACTTCGGGAATTTTAAACAATGAATGTTACATTATGTTATACAGCTGTTTTCCAAAAGTAAATCTCAGTGTTATATTAGAACAAATGCTGTGTTCCTGTGCCTTGCAGTTAAGTCTTACACAGTACTTAGATTTTTATTTGGAATAGTTACCACAGATTTAATACTCAAAGCAAGTGAAACACTAGTAATGGTAGAACTCAGGAGAATCTGGACTTAGTACAGTACAGGTGCTAAAAAAGAACACAGGAATAAATACATTCTTATCTTTACTTAGTACAACACAAATTCTCCTTTTCTCAGAGGCATGAAACCCAAGGCTACAACTAATGTGCACCTCAGAATAGTTCTGACATTTGTTCACTGATCTTCTATGTCTGTACTCAGCTTCACTGAAACAGCTTTCACAGTCTAATAATAGATGTTGAATACACACAGGATTGTTAAAGTACGTTTACATGTTTTCACATGAACAAATAAAATTATATGATTTCAAATTGATCCTTCATATTGGTATGCTATGAAGCTAAACAACTCCAAGTCAAAACAAGCTGCAAGTAAGTACTACTCGGTGATGATGATTATTCACCACAGCTATGAAGACTGTATTCTCTCTGTGAATGTTTCAGCAAAACTACCCTCCTTGGGGTTGCAGCCGTACATCAACAAGGAACTGTCAGAAATTCAAGCTGGATTCAGAGGAGGACATGGAATGAGGGATATCACTGCTGATGTCAGATGGATCCTGGCTGAAAGCAGACAATACCAGAAAGATGTTTACCTGTGTTTTATAGACTATACAAAAGGCATTTGACTGTATGGCTCATAACAAATTATTGGTAACATTGTAAAGAACAGGAATTCCAGAACACTTAAATGTGCTCATGAGGAACCAGTACATAGACCAAGTGGCAGTCGTTTGAACAGAACAAGGGATATTACGTGGTTTAAAGTCAAGAAAGGTGTGTGTCAGGGTTGTATCCTTTCATGATACTTATTCAATCTGTATGCTGAGCAAATAATCCGAGAAGGTGGACTGTATGAAGAAGAACCCAGCGTCAGGATTGGAGGAAGACTCATTAACAATCTGTGATATGCAGAAGACACAATCTTGCTTCCTGAAAGCCAAGAGGCCTTTAAGACTTACTGATGAAGATCAAAGACCACAGCCTTCAGTATGGATTACACCTCAACATAAAGAAAACAAAAATCCTCACAACTGGACCAATGAGCAACATATGATAAACGAAGAAGACTGACATTGTCAAGTGTTTCATTTTACGTGGATCCACAATTAATGCTCGTGGAAGCAGCAATTAAGAAATCAAAGGATGTACTGCACTGGGCAAATGTGCTGCAAAGACCTCTTTAAAGTGTTAAAAAGCAAAGATGTCACTTTGAGGACTAAGGTGCGCCTGACCCAAGCCATGGTGTTTTCAATCACCTCATATGCATGCGAAAGCTGGATGATGAATAAAGAAGACAGAAGAACTGACACCTTTGAATTGTGATGTTGGTGAAGAATATTGAGTATCATGGAAAAATGAACAAATCTGTCTTGGAAGAAGTACAGCCAGAATGCACATTAAAAGGGAGGATGACGAGACATCATCTCACACACTTTGGACATGTAATTAGGAGAGACCAGACCCTGGAGAAGGACATCATGCTTGGTAAAGTAGAGGGTCAATGAAAAAGAAGAAGACCCTCAATAAGCTGGATTGACACAGTGGCTGCAACAATGGGCTCAAACATAGCAACAATTGTGAGGATGGCACAGGGCTGGGCAGTGTTTCCTTCTATTGTACACAGGGTCCCTATGAGCCAGAACTGACTTGATGGCACCTAACAACAACAACAACCCCCTTGGGGCGGCTAGGTGACGAAAGCATCAGAATAATGGACTTCAAGACACAGAAAAGAAGGAAGCATATCTTGCATATTCCAGGGAGTGGAATATGTTTTCACAAACAGACAGAGCACAGAATTCCTAAGTGTTAATTAAATCTGCTAGGAACTGAAGCCATAACTAACTGTTCTGATTCTAAAACATAGCGGCATAACTGAGAAGGCAAAAGATTTCTTTCAATGGGTCAGCACTTAAACAGTCAATTTAAACAGATACATAATATAGTTGTATTCGAGAAAAGAAAAAGTGGAGAAGAGCCCCAATGGTGTAAAATTCAATTTGAGAAATTCTTCACAGGTCTACAGATGAGAGGCTCATGAAAGTAGGAGAGCTCTCCTGACAGGACGAGTTATAATTCCCAGATACGAAAGGCGCAGGATGTTGAAGTAAGTTGCTAGCATGCTTCACCTCCAAGAAGACACAAATTCAAATTTCTTACTCTCTGATTATGTCCTCCATGCTTGTGCATATTCAACACTTGATTCCTCCATAAAACTCCCTTCCATCACTTCCATGACACACCACCACAGTTAACTCTTTTCCTAACTTTCTAACTGTTCTCCTGTTTTCTCTTCAACAATTCATGATGATGACATCACCCAAATCTGAATTAGCAATCTTTGCATATTTTTGATCTCCAGTCTGGTTGCAGTGATCAGACCTGTCATGGTTTGAATTATGTCCCCAAACAATGTTTGTATCAGTTTGGTTGGGCCATGATTCCCGGTACTATGTGATTTTCCTATATGTTGTAAATCCTGCCCCTATGATGTTAATGAGGGAGGATGGGTGGCAGTTGTGTTAGTAAGGCAGGACCTGATCTACAAGACTGGATTGTGTCCTGAGGCAATCTCTTGAGAT